GAGGTGGATAAATTCCATAATCTGATCAGGTGTACCCTAGAACTTTGTGGGAAGCTAGGGAAGAGATTACTGGAAATAGCGAGAACTACCAATGTTGGAGACAGAGATAACACAGTGTGGAGCTGGAGGAACACAGCAGGCCAGGCAGCAGAGTTGACATTTCGGGTCGGGATCGTTTCTAAAAGAGGGTCCCGATCCGAAACATCAACTTTCCTGCTCCCAAGAGATTACTGGGCCCCTTGCTAAGATATTTGTATCATCAATAGCCACAGGAGAGGTGCCTGAAGGGCAGCTAACGTGGTCCCACTATTTGAGGAAAAGCCAGGAACATTAGACCTATGAGCCTGACATCAGTGGTAGGTATGTTGTTGGAGGGAATCTTGAGGGACAGGATTTGCATGTATTTGCAAAGGCAAGGACTGATTAGGGATGTCTTCATGTGTGGGAAATAGTGTCTCACTAACTTGGTTGAGATTTTTGAAGAAGTGAAGAAGAAGATTGATGAGGGCAGAGCGGTGGTCATTGTCTATATGGACTTCAGAAAGGTGTTCGACAAGGTAGAACATGGTAGACTGTTTAGTAAAGTTAGATCACATGGAATACAGGAAGAACTAACTGTTTGGATACAAAATTAGCTCGAAGGTAGGAGACAGAGGGTGGTGGTGGAGGGTTGCTTTTCAGACTGGAGGCCTGTGACTAGCGGTGTGCTGTAAGAATCGATGCTGGGTCTGCTGCTTTTCGACATTTATATCAATGATCTGGCCGTCAACGTAGGAGATATGGTTAGTAATTTTGCAGATGATGCCAAAATTAGTCGTGTAGTAGACATTGAAGGTGACCTCCGAGTACAACAGGACCTTGGTCAGATGGGCTGAGGAGTGGCAGATGAAGTTCAATTTAGCTAGATGTGAGGTGCTGCATATTGGCAAGGCATATCAGGGCAGGACTTAGACACTTAATGGGTAAACTCCTAGGGATTGTTGCTGAACAAAGAGACCTTGGGGCACAGGTTCATAGTTCCTTAAAAGTGGAGTCACAGGTAGACAGGATAGTAAAGGCGACATTTGGTACGCTTGCCTTTACGCTTGGTCAGTGCATTGAGTATAGGAGTTGGAACGTCATGTTGCAGCTGTACAGGACAGTGGTTAGGCCACTTTTGGTATACTGCGTTCAGTTCTGGTCTCCCTGCGATATGGAAGATGTTGTTAAACTTGAAAAAGGTTCAGAAAAGGTTTACAAGCTTGTTGCCAGGGTTGGAGAGTTTCAGCTATAGACAGAGGCTGAATAGGCCGGGGCTATTTTGCCTGGAGGGTCGGAGGCTGGGGGCAGGGTGTTGGGTTATCTTCTAAACGCTTATAAAGGTCATGAGGGGCATGGATAGGGTGCATAGTCAAGGTCTTTTTCCCCAGGGTAAGGGCATAGGTTTAAGGTGAGAGGAGAAAGATATAAAAAGGGACCTAAGGGACAACGTTTTCATGCAGAGGGTGGTGTGTGTAAGGAATAAGCTGCCAGATAAAGTGGTGGAGGCTGGTACAATTACAACATTTAAAAGGCATCTGGATAGGTATATGAATAGGAAGTGTTTAGAGGGATATGGGCCAAATGCTGGCAAATGGGACTAGATTTATTTAAGATATCTGTTCGGCATGGACAAGTTTTACGGAAGGGCCCGTTTCTGTGAAGTCAGGAAATGGAATGCACTTTTGCTTTGCTATTTCCACTTTACCCACCTTTAGGAATCTGTCCTTACTCTACCACAAGTGAAGAAGCAATTATTTGATAAGTACCATGTGGTTAATGTTTATTCTATTTCGAAGATCTAAAATCGTAAAGAAACTGATGGTAGAGTTAATTAAAAAATCCAAGGTAAAGAAAATCATCATTGAAGATATAATTAAGTAGTTAATTCAAACAGAAGAGGTGATGTGTGACAGCTGCAGTACGTGGGGGCTTCCGAGGCTGGAATTGAACCTGGGTCCCTGGCGCTGTAAGACCTAACCACTGAGCCCTAACCGTTACAATCCGTGTAGATAATCAGTAACGGACAGGACAAGAGATTCTGTGTAGTCAGTATAAGGAGTTAGGCACTAAATTAACAATCAGGGCCTCTTTGGATTATTACCCGAGCCATGTGCAAACTGGAAGGTGGTGATTAAGATTAGAGAAGTGATTGTGTGGTTCAGTGGTGAGAGAGAAATGGGTTCACATCATGAAGCACTGGTAGCAGTACTGGGAAATATAGGAATTGCATCTTTGGGACAGTCTACGCCAGAACCACGCTGGACCCAGGATTTCAGTGAGCTGCATAACTAAGGAAGTAGAGAGGCTTTTAAATTAAATACTGGTAGAAAGGGATCATATTTGGTAACTCTGTACATCAAAGGGTAGAGAGACAAGGCAAGAGAGAAAGCTATTAAAGTGGGAAATGATAAAACTACTTGATATCTTTATTTATGTCACACCCCTGCTCTTCTTCCACTTGTATTTCTATATTGCATGTGTGGAATACATGTGCTTCTACAGGATATGTAGCACAAAAACAGTCTTTTGGCCCACCCATTACAGGGGGTTTATTATTATGTTCTTCTCCAGCATCCCCCCACTTTCCTCATCTAAATTTAACCAATGAAACTATCTATCTCCTCATCACTCAAATGTTTGTTGGCAGGCCATTAGGCATTCTCTCCTCCACAAGAGGAAACATTCTCTATATCCACACAACCAAAACTCTTCCCAATTTTATGATCTTTATTAGATCACTCATCAGACTTGCTTCTTCAAGAGTGAAATGACCAGCCGGTCAATCACCAAGACAACATCATCCTGAATTGGAACTGTGTCACTGTTCCCTTACGGTCACTCTCTTCCTAACAGCACACTGGGTATGTCACAGACTGCAACAGTTCAAGGTGGAAGCTCACCACCTTCTCAAAAGGCAATTGGGAATAAGCCAGCAAATACTGGCCCAGGCAGCAAAGCTTTCCTTAAAAATTCCCTTTCCTGACATGCATGCCATGTATTTCTGAAATCAACTATGTCAATCTCTGTCAATACAGTGTGGAGCTAGAGGAACACAGCAGGCCAGGCAGCATCACAGGAGCAGGAAAGTCGACATTTCAGGTTTACACCCTTCATCTGGGCTGGGAAGGGGGAAGGGAGCTTGGAAATAAAGGCGGAGGGATGGGAGGCTGGCAGTAGGTGGATGCAGGTAGGGGGTAGTGGAGATTGGTCAGTGGGAAGGGTGCGAGCGGACAGGTTGCGTCAGGTCAGGGAGTCGGGGATGAGAAGGAGGGAGGGTTGGACATGGGATGAGGCCCGGGGTGGGGAAGATTTCAAAACCGGTGAATTCCATGTTCAGACCATCGGGCTGTAGGCTCCCAAGTCAGAATATGAGGAGTTACTCCTCCAGTTTGTGGATGGTGTCATTGTGGCATTGGAGGCAGCCCAGGATGGACGTGTCATCCAGGGAATGGGGCCGGGGGGGCGGAGAAAGAGTTAAAATGGTTGGCGACTGGAAGGTGTTGTTGATTATATCATACGGAGTGCAGATGATACACGAAACGGTCTCAGAGTCTGCGCTTGGTCTCGGGAGCCTACAGCCCAATGGCCTTAACGTAGAATTCACAAGTTTCAAAATCTCCCCACCCACCTGGCCTCATCCCATGTCCAACCCTCCCTCTCATCCCTGCCTCCCTGACCTGACACAACCTGTCCATCTTCTTCCCCACCCTTCCCAATGACCAATCCCCACTACCCCCTAGCTGCATCCACCTATCACCATCCCACCTACCTTCCTCCAGATTAATGCCCCTTCCCTCTATTTACTTCCGAGCTCCCTTCCCCCTCCCCAATCCTCAAGGGTGTAAACCCTCTATTTCCTGTTCCTTTGATGCTGCCTGACCTGCTGTGGTCCTCCAGTTTCACACTGTGTCGAGTCTGACTCCAGCAGCTGCAGTTCTTGCTATCTCCAATGCAAACCTCTGTACTGTCTTTTATCCATTATGTAATAAAAACTAGAACTGCATACAGTACATCATGTGGTATAAACAAGTTTGGACAGAGGTTTAAATTAGAGTTTGTATTTCTTTATTTATGGTCTTGTTAATGTGTGGTGTAACTATGTGATTTATGTATTTGTACTCTGAGATGCCTTTGTTCCTCTACTCCACCTAGACTTGTACTTGCCAAGCAATAAGTGACCTCCCTGTTCTTCCTATCAAAATGTATTACCTCATGTTTATCAGTGTTCACACTTTGTTTGCCAATTTTATTTTTAATTCTTAAACGAGATGTGAGCCAGCAAGGCCAGCATTTATCGTCCATCCCCGTGCACATGAACGGAGTGGCTTGTTCGACAAATTCAGAGGGCAGTTAACAGTTGACTCCATTGCTGAGAGTTTGGAGTCACATGTAAGAGAAACTAGGTAAAGACGGTTGATTTCTTTCCCTCCTTAAGAAGGACATTAGCACACCACTTGAAGTGGTGACCGCTGCTGGAGTTACACCCCAGTCACTTGCCAGTGAAGCTGGGAAGTAGGCTGTGAGACAGAGGGATTGGCAGCAAGGGCATGTCAATGCTCAGTCTCCACCTTCTAGACTGTTCCCTCAATCAGGCAATGACTGTGCTTCAACAAGGACTACCCCACTACCAGGAGTCTGTAAGCAAACACGCCAGCATTTGCTAGTCACAACCTCCCACTGGGTGAATACCAGCTGAGAGAGAAGGCGTCACATCTCAGAGCAGCAGCAATCAGCAGCTTTAGAACCCGTTTTCAGCTGACTATCAGACACAGCGTCACTCATAGATCAAGCAAACGGCTGACACAGATAATCACGGCACCCAGTTCCCCCCCCAACTATTTTCCCCATAGTTATCCACAATAACTGGGGCTAAGAGTAATTACCAAACTGCATAGTTCACACAATAACAACATTGCAAACAAAAAAAAAATTCCACGTCAGGGGAGGAGGTCATCAGCTCGAAATAGGCAAAAGTGGAAATACTTGGAAAAAAAAACTGATTTACCGGATAATGAAATCAATATCATTGTTGGCAATGGTGACCACGATGTCAGGGACATTGTAAGGTGTGTCAAGGTGACTCTCCATCGTAGCTCTATGAAAGGAGAGAGAAAAACAAAATCAAATCCCATGAGATAGACAGGGATACGTATTGAACAGCACTTACACATTCACCCAGTCGTATTTGGCATGAACGATTTCATTCTAAAACAAATGGATTCAGAATGAGAGAGTAAAGATTCAAATTCATTGCTCCAATGGAGAGGTTTCTGGCAGAGGGCTCCAGGCACCAGCACACATTTCTAATCACCATATTACAAAAATAGTTGACAAAGATGGGACCAAACTGAGAAGATACAACTGTCTGGACAAACTAAACAATTGTAAGTGTTACCTTACCTCAAGTCATTTTTCTTGAGAAAAATTAATAAGGTAAGGGTAGACTTAAAGAACACGGTTCTACTTCAGAGTAGAAAACTATAGGTCCTAAATGTACAGTCAGTCACTTCCTTTCCTTTATTCATTCACGGGTCGAAGGCATCGCTGGCTAGGCAGCATTTATTGCCCAGAGAGCAGTTAACTGTCAACCACATTGCTGGGGGTCCAGAGTCACATGTAGGCCAGACCAGGTAAGGATGCAAGTTTCCTTCCTTAAAAGGACATTAGTGAACCAGATGGGTTTTTCTGACGATCGACGATGGATTCATGGTCATCATTAGATTCTTAATTCCAGATATTTTATTGAATTCAAATTCCACCATCTGCCGAGGTGGGATTCGAACCTGGGTTCCCAGAACATTATCTAGGTCTCTGGATTAACAGTCCAGCAATAATACCACTAGGCCATCGCCTCAAACCAATAAAGGAATTTAACAAAGTTGTTACATAAATGAAAATAGTTTTAAACACAATAAAAAAGGATTCCAAGGTGTTTCACAACAGCATTAAAAATTTAAAACTGAATATTAAGATATACATCTGAAGGCAAAAGAAACTTCAGAAGACCCAAGGTCTGGATAAAGTTGCTTGTTTTAAGGCACATATTAAAAGGAAGTGAGAAAAATAGAAGGGCCTAAGAGGCCCGGGAAGGAATTCTAGAGTTTGGACCCAATGACTGAAGATCAGAAATTTCTTTACTCAGGTGTGAGAATGTGCAGCCCAAATCAAATTGAGTGGTCAATGTGAAAACCAAATGTTTACGAGGAAGCTAGCTAAGAGGAGAGGGGTGGGGGTGGGGGAAAGAGAGGGCGATATAGAAAAAAAAAGGTAAGAGGAGTCTCATGTGAAGGATAAACAATGGTCATAGGACCATTTTTTGTGCCAGAGAGAGTGTGCATGGGGGACAAGGAGAGAGGGAGTGAGGGATAGACAGACACGATACGGAATAAGGTAAAAAAGGAGTCTCATGTGAAGGATAAGCACTGGTAAGCCGTTGGACCATTTTCTGTGCTGAAGTTCTATCATGTAACCACGATCTAAATTCATTGTCAGAATACATGATATAAATATATACACATGACCTTTTACATAATCTGCACAATAGCTGTCAGACAATTTATATATTTATAGAGTGTCATACAGCATGGAAACAGGCCCTTGGGCCCAACTCGTCCAGGCTGATCAGGTTTCCAAAACTGAACTAGTCCCACTTGTCTGTGTTAGGCCCATAAAACTCTAAATCTATCCCATCCATGCACCTATCCAAATGCCTTTTAAATGCTGTGACTGCACCCACCTCTGTCGATTCCTCTTGTTCCAAACATGCACCACCCTCTGCATGAAAAAGTTGCCCCTCAGGTCCCTTTTCAATCTTTCCCTTCCCACCTTAAACCTATACCCTCTAGCTCTGGACTCCCCTACCCTGGGGAAAAGACCTTGGCTATTCACCTTATCTATGCCCCTCACGATTTTTTATAAAACTCTAAGGTCACCTCTCAGCCTCCGAAACTCCAGGGGAAAAAGTCCCAGCCTATCAAGCCTCTCCTTACAACTCAAACCCTCCAGTCTTAGTAACATCCTTGGAAATCATTTTTGGACCTTTCCAGTTTAAGGTATCCATCCTATAGCAGGGTGACCAGTACTCCAAATATGGCCTTACTAATGTCTTGTAGAGCCAGAATATGATGTCCCAACTCCTATACTGAATGGTCTGACCGCTGAAGGCAAGCGTACCAAATGCCTTCTTCACCACTTTGTCTACCTGTGACGCCACTTTCAAGGAACTATGTACCTGAATCCCTAGGTCTCTGTTTGACATACTCCCCAGGGCCCGACCATTAACCGTGCAAGTCCTTGCCCTGGTTGTCTTCTCAAAATGCGTCACCTCACATTTATCTAAATTAAACTCCATCTGCCATTCCTAGGCCCACTGCCATAGTTGATCAAACATCTTGTTGCACTCTTAGATAATAATCTTCACTATACCACCAATTTCGGTGTATCGTACATCTTTGTACACCATCCTGACTTGGAAAAATATCACCTTTCCTTCACTAATACAGGGTCAAAACCTTGGAGCTCCTTTCATAACAGCACAATGGGTGTCTCTACATCATATGGTCTGCAGCAGTTCAAGGTAACAGCTCACCATCTTCTCAAGAGCAACTAGTGATTGGTAGCAAGTGATGGCTCTGCCAGCGACACGAAAATGGATCAAAATAAAACTTTCACAGATAGAATACTGAATAGTTAAAAGTGGAGAGGTTGCAGCTCTCCCACTGCAAGTCAATTGCTCTAGAAACGTCATAATAACTGGAGAAAAACAACATTCAAAAATAAACTGAATACACAAAAAAAGAGAGAGAAAACCTCAGAAGGCAAATGTTTACAATGGGGTTTCTTGCCAAGTTTAGGCAGTAACAGTCTGTGTTGGAAACAAACAAATCTAAAGTAGGTCATCACGGACAATGAACAGCAGCGGAATAGTGAGAGTATATATATATATATATATATTTTTAAAAAATAAAAATCGCAGAAAGCAGAGAAAATTCAATTTCTGCAAATTAGTATTGTGGCATCAATAGGAGGGTCAGTTCTTTTGCATTAATCATTGCAGTAGTTGCCAGATTCATGGGAGCTGGAAGAAATGTTTGCAAAGGGTGGGGTACCAGCAGTTTAGTTCCACAGACAGTGCGTTGGAAAGTATTCAGGGAAACCACTCCAATACATCTGCTCAGCCATGCCAACAGAATGGTCTACGTTTGACATGTGACCAAAGGTTCACTTACCATTTCCACTGCCTCCATTGTAACTTTACACAGTAAAATCAAACCCTTTCCTTTTTAAAGGGAAAGTTCATATTTTTGTCAGATCCAGGGATCCAGCCCTGTTTACAATGGTGTTCACTACAAACGATTCTGTGGAGAGTTAGGCAACATGATCGGGCAAAATCCTGATGGAACAAGTTTTGAGGCTACAAGTTTCTCAGTCAAAGATGCAGGTAGTGGGCCAGTGCCTCAGGAGGACAAATCACAGAGTGCTACTCGTGCACAAGTGGTTTGTACTGAGACCAGAGCCAGCAGATAAGAGACAGAATAAAACATATCATGCAAGAGAGACTGGTCAAACTCCAGCAGGTTAAGAAACAAAAAGCAGAATAGGGACAGGGACAAAGTCAAACTGGGCTCAGCTGGAAGTGGAAACAAATGAAGGAAGTGAAATAGGACAGGGATGAAAATTGAAGTGATGAGTAAAAGGCAAGGCAAATGTTCCTCTCATTCTTTCTGTAAGGTTTGTTGAGGATAGCCAACTGAAATTTGACAGATTGTGATAGGTCTAATCCAATAGAAGATTTTAAAATTATAGGGAGCTAGCAAATGAAAACATTTACACCGAGTGTCATGGAGCAGTGGGGTTAATAGACAGAGGGGAAAAAAAAAGTCATGTGATTTGGTGATGGGGTAAAAAAGAACGTTCAGAGGTGTGGGGAGACAGACTTTTGTACTACAGTAACAGTATCCCTACCTGTGAGCCAGGAGGCCTGTGTTCAAATCATATCTGCTGCAGAGATGTGTAATAACACCCCTGAACAGGCAGATTAAAAAAAGAAATCTGTGGGGTGAGTTTTTGGGAACAGCAATGGGTGAACCACACCTGGCTACAAGGTCATATTGGAGTGACAACGAAATGCTCAGAACAAGAGGAAAATGGGATCAGATACAAAAAGGAACAGAATCAATGGACGTCATGGGCTCTAAGTGTTTGAAAATGTTCTGACGGTCAAAGCTAAACTAGAGACAGTTAGAAACCCTTTCAGAGAATCCGACATAGTCAGCATTCAATAACTGCTTCCCGATATAGATTTCTTAGAGGTTGGAATTAAATTGGACCCTGAAATAAACTAGTTCCAACCAGTAAGTCGTCACACAGTTTATAATATGGACCCACACAGCTCCTAACACTGCCTTTTCAGATGAATTACTGTGTAGGCAGAAGAAACTTAAACAAAAACAATGGCCAGGCAAGCCCGCCCCCCCACCCCCGCCCCTCCCCCCCACCCCCCTTACTTAGTGCTTCATGTCAGAGAGTGGTGTTAAGTACACTCTGTACAGAACTGGGAGGGGTGAGAGCTGTATCTGGCCACCAGCTGTATCCTGTGTGACAAACAGGATCAGTTTACACTCTTGGAAAGCATAGTTTTGAAACTATATTTCTTTTTACAAAGTTAAAGCTCAACAACATGACGGCTGACTGTAAGGGTCAACATCAAGGAGTTTTAATCATTCTGGTTTCACAGGGATCTTTCCAGAGAAGTGGGACTCACATTGTGTTCTTAAATGGGGTCACTGTTCCAAATAATGCCTGCTCTGACATTTCTCCGGGCAGCAGAGATCAAAGGGAATGGGGGTGGTACTCAAACCGGATGTGGCAGAACATGAGACACCTTTGAGTCAGCGTTGCCCATTTTAACAAAACCCCACCACTTAAAAGTGAGAACTGCCTGTCTTGTTCCAAGATGGTGTAGGAGTTGCTGGGGTGTTTGTAGCAGCATTGCCAGCTTTTGTTTGTTTGTGTCGTATCTGACCCACAGCTAAGACCATCTCACCCAGGCACAGAAGGCAGCCTTTGAGTAAAGGTAGCGTTCCCAGTTGTCAGGCGGAAGGTGGAGGGTTTCGGATCCTGCTTAAAACTGTCCCAACAACTGTTTGCTTCTGAACAGTGGGGCTACTTTCCACAGGGAAACGTTCACTAGCTGGACAATGAGATCCCAGAGCTATCAGCTGGTAAGGAGATGGTTACAGCCACAAACATGTGCTCATGTCACAGCTCTTTCCAACAGTCAACCAGATTGTGAATTCTTCTTTTTAAGGTGGTAAAGATGCAAAAACAACTACAACCTGGATGCAGCAACTTGCCAAGGACTTAATGGTGTGTGTTTATTGATTCCATCGCTTACAGACTTTTGTGATACAGAAAATTCAAAAGACAGACTGAATTGGCTGAGGCTATTTTCCCTGGAGCATCAGAGGCTGAGGGGTGACCTTACAGAGGTTTATAAAATCATGAGGGGCATGGATAGGGTGAATAGACAAGGTCTTTTCCCTGGGGTAGGGGAGTTAAAAACTAGAGGGCAAAGATTTAAGGAGGGAGGGGAAAAGATTTAAAAGTGAACTGAGGGGCAATTTTTTTCACATAGAGAGTGGTGCGTGTACAGAATGCGGTGCCAGAGGAAGTGGTGGAGGCTGGTACAATTACAACATTTAAAAGGCATCTGGATGGATATGTGAATAGGAAGCAAATAGAGGGCCAAATGCTGGCAAATGGAACTAGTTCAGTTTAGGAAACTTGGTCGGCATGGATGAGTTGGGCCAAAGGATCTGTTTCCATGACTCATATTTTGGTATTTTTTTTGGAAGAAAAAAGTCTTGATTTTTTTTTCCCAACACTGCTAACCAGCGACAGTAGCTGCAAATATCCATGGAGCATGTCCCCAGTGCTACCACAGAAATGCACTGCACCTCCCTCCCCCATCCCCACTATGGTATTCTCCAGCGCTGACTTCTGCTGCTGTTCACAGAAACAAAAGGCACATCTCATCCAGCCTCCCGCACACAAACAAACAATGCATCTCCAACACTGAGCTGTCCCAGTGATCTGGGAAATTCTACAGCTCCCCAGACAGAGCGGCTGCCTTTTGCAACCATCCCACAGACCCTGGTCTTTAAACAAACAGGGGTTTACAAAACCTCTTTCACTTCCGAAGGAAATTTCAGACTGGTTCCATGTTTGGACTCAAGCCTCAGCACTAGAGCGCAGCTGACAGTGCATCAACAACTCACCCTCCAACCATTTTTTTTTTTAAAAATTCATTTTTGGGATGTGGATGTCACTGGCTGGGCCAGTAATTATTGCCTATCCCTAATTACCCTGGAGAAAGTGGTATTAAAGAGGTTGGGTGGGGGAATAAAAACTGACAAGGCCCTTGTCTTTCCAATGGCTATGCCAGGTCCTTTCTCTCTAAATCCATTTGAGACCGAGTTGTATCCTTAGGGCTGCATCTACAAACTGTTGCAAAAGCTGAGCTTCAGGAAGTTTAATACCCATAGGTTAAACTTTACCCAATAAACGGTTAGGGGGAATAGGAACAGGAAGAGGCCATTCAGTAGCACACCAATTCCATTCCCCACTAAAAAGGGGATGGTGATTGATCCGTACCCCAATTCCACTTATCCCACCAGACTCCACATCCCCCAACACTGACAACCAAACTCTTATCAATCCCGGATTGTAAATTCAGAGCTAGCATCTACTACATGTGTTTGTCAGCAAGTGTTCCATATTTTTAAGACACTTTCTCAGCTGAATTTCCTCTTCATGTCTCCCCTGAATGTCCTGGCTCCGATTTTAAGTTTGTAATCCTTTGTCCTGGATTTAAGTAGTGAAAGGTATTTCTATCTGTTCCATCAAAACCTTAAACCTCAAATCAAATTGTTTAATGCAGAGAAGGTAAGCCTAGTTTATCAAGTTTCTGCTTAAAATAACAACCCTGACAACATTCCATCTTTCCAAGACCTAATTGTCTTGTCTAAAAAGGTACCTTAGAACAGTCTATAGGTGTGGTTTATCCAGCATTTTGTACAGTTTTGACTTTTCTTTTTATAGTCTGGACCTCTACTTACAACCCATCTAACATCCTACAGACCGTTCATTAGTGCTCTGGGTAAACGGATCCTTAAATCTCTTTGGATCATCACCTTTACACCACATTTAATTAAATACTCAGGTCTATTTATTTTCTGCTTATAAAATGGATGCCCTCACATTTAACTCCACTGAAACACATCCGCAATAACCTACTTTTTTTTTCAAAAAAAAAAAAAAAAAAGCCTTCTTTAACAAAACGGCAGCACATTCTGGATTAGTATTCCCAACTCAGAGCCCTCACTGGAGTTAAAAGAGATTGGATATGATAATGAGATTGTATTTCGTGAGTAACATCAAGCAACCGCAAGAATAGGATGGAATTGTCTGCACTAAAGAGAGACGACACTATCACATCTAGTGGTGTCAATAAAAAGGTTTGCAGAGCTCACTAAAGGCCAACAGCAGTCACTTTGAGGTAAGGGGAAGCCATTCGGACAGATGCGAAGGCTGAAGGGCCTTTTTCTACACTCTAACATTATGATATCAAAGGGAAACAGAGGAGGTGACCTTGACCAAGCGTTGCAAACTGCATATTCCAAGTTCCAGGACCACGTGCTGGGGGAGGCACTAAAGCTCGGGGTAGATGCTGACGAGGCACACTGGGGAAAGACTACTAAAGGTCTTTCTGCCAAAGTTAAATGGGGGTTCGTTCAGTTATCAGACCCTCCGTGTCTCAAATACGTATAAATATAGTCTTGTATGTGTAAGAGATGCCTGTGGTTTGTTGGAAAGAGTCAAACTCCAATGTTTGTGTTGCCTTGATATACTACTGTACAGATCCAAACTGCATTTGTGATTATGTAAATAATTTTTTTGATGAATGAAGCATTTTTTGAAATTAAAGAAGTCAAGGACATGTAGAATAGAACCCAAATCACAAACCACAGGATGCATAACCAGTTATCACAGCAAGTTAATGATTTCAACCAATAATCAGCATGAAAACAAGCAGCAGGATTTTCCTTCATTCTCTACGGTCAGCCAGTTAAAGCATGGGGGCTCATAGCGCAACTGGCCCTATCCCCAGCCCCCAGGGGCTGGACTCTCTTATCATTACCTTCCATCGTGTGCAAAGACAGGACTCACCTCATTGCATTCTTCAGTAACTCAGGCAGGATGTAGTCCAGAGGCATCGGGATATAAGGGTATCTGGCTGCCACATGGCCATTTATCCGCACTCGTGGGGAATTTCCATACTGATGCTCACATAAGCGCCTAGAAGAAGAAAGGGAACAAAAACAACAATGCTCATTTTTAAATGAAACTCCAGCCTGCTCATGTCCAAGTGACAGAAACATTAACTCTACGACTTTTACCACAGATGCTGCCTGACTATAAGATACAGGAGCAAACTTAGGCCATTCAGCCCATCAAGATTACAATCTTGAAAGCTATTACATTAATCAATTGCAGAATCATTGAATTTTTTTTTGAGGTAAACAGAACAAAGCAGTACCTAGCAGCAGAAATACCATTGCCATACGGTTGCACCGAAAGCTGCATAACTCTGCTTAAGCAATCAGGACTAATCAATGAAGCTGCATTTTAAGCAATATTCAGGGGCATGAAATTTATAATTAATAAAAGGGGATCAAGGGTTATAGGGAGGAGGCAGGAGAATGGGATCCTGCTGAGCATTCCTCCATATTTCACTTTAGTCTTTACTTGTGTGCGCGCCTGGTTTGTTGAAAGAGGTGGAAGGAGGATGAAAGGTTAATATAATTTTTGCTCAACATGTTGCAGTTTGAAATTGATTTCCACCTACAACTTCCTGGATTTGCTCTCTTCTTTCAGATACCCTTATAGCAGTTTGATCAAGACAGGCTTCCTCCCAGATCTGATCTCCCCTCAAATCTCACCCCACCCCCATTCCATACAGGAGATGCACACATCAGATCATTGTCCTTGGTACAAACTCAGAAGTGCCAAGGACATTCCTGGTGATACTTCTCAAAACACTGCTTGGGATTTAATAAGAATCCAGAGAATTCTATATAAATAATTGTCAGCTGTCATTTAACTCGCTGACTGACATTTCGAAGTCTGTTTTTGCACATTTTAGTTGGGTTCAAAACAAAAACAGATTTTTTAAAATTAATTCTTCTTCCAACTTAATTGGATTTATAGGATTGACTTATTTCTTGTTGCTTTCTTTTACAAGAAAAGAAAAACACTATAAAGATAGAAAACAGCGCTCAAAAACTACCTTTTTAAAAACCTATAAAAAAAGGATTGAAATTAAAAATTCCAAGACATAAAAAACTGCTATAAAGCACCAGAGGGGAGGTCAGTATTTGGTCCCTTGCTATTTAAGGCCACAATAACTACCCAGCAACATCAATTAAAGAGCAAACTTTCCAGAGGCTTGGTGCACGGAGAGGGCAAGTCGGAGAATCAGAAGTGCCACAAACCAGCCACATCAACTTCCACACCCAGGTGAGGTGCAGATGCAGGGAGGGTCCTTATCCAGAACATCTAAGGCACAGGATGGCACAGTGACACAGTGGGTAGCACTGAAGTCTCACACTGCCAGGGACCCGGGTTCAATTCCAGCCACGGGTGACTGTGTGGAGTTTGCACATTCTCCCGGTGTCTGTGTGGGTTTACTCCAGGAGCTCCAGTTTCCTCCCTCAGTTCAAAGATGTGCAGTTTAGGTGGATTGGCCATGCTAAATTGCCCCATAGTGTCCAGCAATGTGCAGGCTCGGTGGGTTAGGGATAGGGTAGGGGGTTCGGGCAGGATGCTCTTTGGAAGGTTGGTGTGGACTCAATGGGCTGAATGGCCTGATTCCACACTGTCGTGATTCTATGAATAGAAAATGCTCACCTGTATCATCCAGAAATGACAGTATAAAAAAGGAGAATACAGGCAATAATCAGTGCTACGGAAATCAGTGCCACAAAGAGCTATTTGTACAGCTGGTCAGAGGGAACAATAAAGGAGTACAGGAGATGTTAGGCAGGCAGAAGAGAAACCACAGCGTACCAATAACACCACAGCACTATTAATCCAGAAGCCCAGGATAATAATGTAACCACAGCAAATGGCAGAAATTAAATTCAATTTTTAATTTGGAGCTGGAACAGACAGACAGTCTCACAAAACCAGGATTGATTTTTAAAAAAAAAAAACAACTTGTCAGGCCCACTAAAACCCTTCAGGGATGGATATCTGACTCCTTACCAAGGCTGGCCTCCACGTGACTACAAACCGCAGCAACGTGGAGGACTCTTAGTAGGCCATTTCCAAGGGCTCTTAAATCACTCATTGCATAAGGACGGACAAAGTAAAATGCTGATTTGCCAATGACACTCATTCTATGAGAAATCTTTTCTAAATTCTCATGTACGTTGACTAAAAGTGGACAGGGCAGTGGTGAAGGATACTGTAAACTTAGGTATCCTTTGAATGACTTGAAATTTCAACTCCACACCCAGAAGGGAAAGTCGCCTGCAGCTTTAACTGCACATAAATGGAAGTCAGAAGACAAAGAGCATGACAGTAGAAGACAGCTTGCCAACACTGAGCCCACGTCTAAGTTAGTCATATAATTCATCACATCAAATTAATGTCACTTGATCAGTTGGTCACCACTTTCTAATCAAAAGTGCATTACAGAATTCTCTATTTAAATGTTCTAGAATCCAATGTAATCCATGACTTGTATCAACCTTTAACATCAGCACAGGAGAAATACAGCTGGTCCACTGACTACACATCAACACCATCTGCTCCAATCCCATTTCTAACCACTCAATCTCACACTCAGCATTTTAACTTTTTTTTTTAAACTTTAGCTTTTTATCTGGTTCTTCTTTAGTTAACAATCCTCATTAGGTTAAGGGTACGTGAAAGGTCCGATGGCCTTACTCAGAGACAAACAGTGATTCTGCTGAAGCCACACAAAAAGGTGAGTGGGTCACTACTGGTTGCTGTGTTTGCCGTTTAAGAACAGTTCAATGAACTGTCATGGTTCGCAAAACACTTTTCAATATTTGAGACACGTAATAACACACTAAATAAATACAAGCCTTTTCTCTCTAGGGCACTGCACTTACAGTAAAGTAATCCACATTCAAATATCCTCAGCCCATTTCTTCTAAGTTGCTCCTTTACACCTCAAGCGGATTTGAATTTCAGGTCACAGGGACAAGAAATATTTCCAGCTGCATTCCTCATTGTTAAAGTCAACTGTACCCCCACAATCAACATTCTGGAAATTATCACTGACTAGAAACTGTACTGGACTAGCCATATATAAATATAGTGCCTAAGAGAGCAGATTAGAAGCTACGAATACTGCAGCAATTCATCTCCTGACTCCCCAGAGCCTGTCCATCATCTACAAGCCACAAGTCAGGAGTGTGATCGAATACTCCCCACTTGCCTAAATGGGTGTAGCTCCAACACCACTCGGGAAGTTCAACACCATCCAGGACAAAGCAGCCTGCTTGGCTGACACCCCATCCACCATCTTCAATATTCGCTTCCTATACCACTGATGCACAGGGGCAGCTGTGTGCACCATCTACAAGCTCACCAAGGCTCCTTCAACAGCACCTTCCAAACCTGCGACCTCTGCCTCCTCGAAAGACAGGGGCAGCAAATGAAATGGAAGAGCACCATCTTCAAGTTTCCCTCCAACCCATACTGACTTGGAACTATATTGCCATTCCTTCACTACCGATGGGTCAAAATCCTGGAGCTCCCTTCCTAGCAAGTGTAGTCAACCTTCCTACACCACATGGACTGCAACTATTCAAACAAAAAACCCAACTCACCACCTCCTTCTGGGCAGCAATCAGAAATAGGCAACAAAAAATATTTGGCTTTATCAGTGATATGCATGTCACCAAGGAGTTTTTTAAAAAAAAAAGCAGAATTTAACTAGGAGTTTAAAAATTGAAGCAAAAACCTGGTACCAGTGCAAGTGACTGCAAAGCTATTAGTGTAGGTTAACAGTACTGATTGCCCATTCCCTAGTGAAACTCTGCACGGCACTGCTATCAGCTGCAGCCTTTCGAGAACCTACAGCCTTGCAATTGTGGAGTGTCTCGTGCAACCTCAGGAGCTGCCAAGGTATTTCACAGACATTCTGGTACTTTTTTTAAAAAAAAGGTAGCTATTGTAGGAAACATGGCAATCAACTTAAAGACAGGAATCTTCCATAATAAGAAGTAGGTAACGACTGAACGACATTTTGGTGGTGTTGGTTCAGGGTTAAATATTTCCCGGGTTTGTGAACGTGTCGGATTTAGAACTGTAAGAATGAAACTGTTTCCAATGGCTAAAATGGGTGAAAAACCAGGTCACCAAACTGAAGGTCATTAGCGGAACTAAGTGGCGCTGAGGAAAAATATTACAATGTTATCACCTAGAATGCACTGCCTGAAAGGGATATGGAAACAGATTCAATTCAGGGAATTTACTACTTACTTTCCAAAGGAAAAAAGTCACAGGACTATAGAGGGATAAAGCAGGGGAGTGGGACTAACTTTTTTCAAAAGGGTTACTTAATAAATAGTGTACAAAGCTATAAAATGGACCAAATTGACTCTGTGCTTTACAATTCTAAAAATGTCTGAGGACAGCAGTGAGAATTCCTCAGTGCTACTTCACAAAAAATGCCATGGGATCTTTCACACTCAAGGTGGCAGGCTGGGCCTCTAAGTTCTCTTCCAAAAGGCAGCACCATCGACGATGGAGCACTCCCTTACCACTGCACTGGAAGGACCAGCCTAGAGGCGGGAGGTGATACTGAACTTGCTTCAGACACTTGTTAGACCTCAGCTGGAGTACTGTATACTCTTCTAGGCGCCACATTATAGGAAGGACGTAAATACATTGGAGAGAGAGAGTGCAGAGCAGTTGACAAGAATGGCTCAAGGGATGACGAACTTCAGTGATGAGGACAGATTGAAGAAGTTGGGACCTAGTTCTGGTCACCCAGTTATAGGAAGAGGAAGCTACAGAGGGTTCAGAAGAGATTTGCCAGGATGTTACCGGGTACAGAAGGCTCGAGTTACAAAGAAAGGCTTAATAGGCTGTCACTTCTTCCATTAGTGCTTAGGAGGTTTACAGGCAGTTCTATAGAAGTTTATAAAATAATGAGGGGAATAGATAAGAGTTAATGATAGTTGTCTTTTCCCTAGGATGGGGGATTTCAAGACTAGGGGGTATATTTTTAAGGTGAAAGGAGAGAGATTTAAAAAAAAAACAGATGAAGGGCAATTTTTAATTTTTTTTGTTTTACACAGAGGATGGTTCATGTGTGGAATGAACTTCCTTAGGAAATGATGGATGTGGGTACAATTACAATGTTTAAAAAAAATTTAGATAATTACATGAATAGGAAGGGTTTGCAGGGATATGGGCCAGGAGCAGACAGCATGGACTGGTTGGACCAAAGGGTCAGCTTCCATACTGTATGACTCTATAACAGCATCAAACATGCTGACCCATCAGTGAGAGTCTATTGTCTCCCACTAGGAGGAGCAGGTAGGTGTTTAACATGACCAACCATCTGATTTCTTAGAACATAATTCACTTCTACCCCAACTACCTCGCCTCTCCGACAAGATAACACAGAACAGGTTTGTGAAGAAAAACCTAAGCTCAAAGGGCAAAAGGTGTAGCAGCAGGAGTACAAAACCAGCTCAGGTGTAGAAAACAGACAGCATTGGTTCTCCCGTCCCCCTACCGCATCCCAAAACCAGCCCAGCTCGTCCCCGCCTCCCTAACTTGTCCTTCCTCCCACCTATTCCCTCCTCCCACCTCAAGCCGCACCCCCATCTCCTACCTACTAACCTCATCCCGCCCCCTTGACCTGTCAGTCCTCCCTGGACTGACCTATCTCCTCCCTACACTCACCTTTACTGGCTCCATCCCCGCCTCTTTGACCTGTCTGCCTCCTCTCCACCTATCTTCTCTTTTATCCGCCTCCCCCTCTCTCCCTATTTATTTCAGAACCCCCTTCCCCTCCCCCATTTCTGAAGAAAAGTCTAGGCCCGAAACGTCAGCCTTCCTGCTCCTCTGATGCTGCTTGGCCTGCTGTGTTCATCCAGCTCTACACCTTGTTATCTCAGCATTGGTGGGTGGTTGTTTTTCCAGACTAGAGGAAGGTACATAGTGTTCCCCAAAGTTCAAAGCTGGGATCTCTGCTAGCGTCGACATGCATTCACCACCTGGACATGGAGTGTAGACCACAATTTCAGACAACACGATACTTAAAAATGTTCCAGGGATGAGGTATCATAGTTACATAGTTAGAATTGAGAAATGGAGGTTGTTCTCCTTATAGAGGGGAACTTCGACGAGATTTGATAAAAAGTATTTTGAATTAAGAATTTAGATGGAGTGAGTGGTAGCTCAGGGATTAGTAAACAGAGGGATAGAATGAAGATAATGAATGAAACAACTGGAGTCAACGATCTGAAGAACTATTTTGTGCTTTCTAAATGAAATCTTAGGATTTGGATAAGTTGATAGATACAGAATTAATAGTTAACCTACAAAAGAATGAGTACAAAAGAGAATATAATAAACATTTGAAGAAAAAAAATTCCTGTAGGGATGGTGGTGTGAAGCGTTAATGTCACTGAACTAGTAGTCCAGAGGCCAAGCCAATGCTCTGGATGGTGGTGGAATTTAAATTCAATCAATAACATCAGGAATTGAAAGATAGTTTTGGTAATGGAAACCATGAAACTATGAATCATGATCAATTCACTACCGCGCATCAGCAAATGGAATCTGCCATGCTTACCTGGTCTTAGCTGCAACTCCAAATGCACAGCAATGTGGTTAACCCTTAACTGAATATGAAATGGCCTGGAAAACCACTCAGTTCCAGGGCAATTAACAATGGACAACAACGCTGATCTTGCCAGCAACACTGAAATCCCACAAAAGAATAAAGAAATCGCAGGGATATGGGAAATAAGCAGAGAGTGAAGTACACCAGTTATAAACTCAATGGGCTGATGGCCTCCTACTGTATTGGACTATTTTTGATGCTACGGCATCCTACATAATAAGATGATAGAACTCTCAAGTGTGTAAATTAGATGGCGTGATGTTCTAAGCTATGACAGGTGGTCATGTGATTTGACACAACTTAACTTCGAGCCCCACAGTAGCAGTATGGCCTGCCCTTTAGGTGTCTTGACAGCTCTGGAGGGAGCTCACAGCAAGCTCAAACGGACAATAAAAGGTTTAAAAGAATTTCTGCTCTTTGAAAAGGGACAAAAAAAAAAAAAAAGTTCTCCCGTGTTTTCGTCAACATGAGTCAATCAAACAAACAGCATTAACTGGTCAGTCACCTCAACACTGTTTCGAAAATCTCACTATTCAAACTGGCTGCTTAGACTGCCCACAGGACAAGAGGTCACTTAAAAAGCCGTTCATTCAACGTGAAGTAATTCTGATGTCATGAAGACACGAAAAAGGTGTTATACAAAGACCAGGAAGAGTGGCTTCAGTCAAGCACCATTTCAGCAATTGAATCTCAGCACTGCCTTCAGTGTTCCTGCACCAATTACAGGGAAAGAAATGAGCATGGACAACCACTTCTCATTGCTACCCAGTGGGAGACCTTGTGCTGCACCGGTAGCACTTACCTCTGGAGCCAGAAGTTCCAGGTTCAAGTCCCACATCAGGACTTGGTGGTGATATGGAAGGAAGGTCCATGACAATCAGCCCTGAAATGTTTCCAACATCTCCCCAAAAGGGGAAAAAGGAAAGAAAAAAAAAAAAAAAAAAAAAAAGTGTTTCGGAAGATAACCTAAACAAAATAAAAATCACCACCTACTGGATGTCTCCCAGAAGATTTGGGTGGAGATGAGAATGGGATTGGCTACAGTAACACTATTAAGTGAACAGGTCTGCAATAACTCATTAACTGGGCTCCTCTACAAGTCACCACTTGAACAAAGCTAAGGCATGGTCACTGCTAATAGAACTAACATCACTTGCCACAGAAAATATGTTTTTAAATGACTCTTAAATTAAAAGAATACTTTTTCAAAAACAAAAAGAAAAACAATTGAAAGAAAAAGTCACTAATTTTTTTTTCCCACAAAACAAAGATCTCTCATTGGCTTGTGTTTCAATACAGACAAAATCTGTAGCTAAAGAGCCAGAAGTGGCACTGGGTTATATCCTAAAAAGTGTTCTCTCCCTCTCTCTGCCAACCCGCATCCAGTCTGCTACTCACCCCATTTAGACTCTATATATGAGCCTATTCCCAGGTCTCTCCAGTTGAGCAGACTGATTTGCAGTACAATCCCCTCCCTGTCTTGGCTCTTAAGCAGGCAAGGTCAGAAACTAGTCACATCGACAATTGCAGGTACTGCACTGTTTTAACATCTATTATTCGCCGAGTTAGGAGATGGGGGCACAGTAAGAGTAAAAAGAATGAGATAATAAAAAAACAAAAAAGAGAAAAATGTTTCAGCTGGGATTGTGTGTTTCTGGCCAAGTGAAGGAGCCTGCTGTACGTTTAATTTTAAACAAGCACTGCATCACGCAAACAGCAGTGACAGGATGTCAGCTTTTCCCCTGCCCTTGACATAGCAGAACCAACTAGCTCACAATCAAATGGACTGCATACCTTTCCCTCTTCAGCTGATTAGCATGACCCATCCACTTCCAGATAATACTGATGATTCAATTACTAAAAAATAAATCACAAAGACCAGGGCCTCCTGGATAAGAGTCATATAGTTGCCATGGAAAAAAAACACTTTAAAAATAAACCCAGTCTAAATACCACAGATCTGAAATAAAAAACAAAGCGCTGGAGAAGCTCAGTGGCTTTGGCATCGTCTGTGGGGAGCGTGTGCCAAAGTTTTAAGGCAAATAGGACTCATCTTTGGAAGTGTCACAGCATGCTCTCTACTCTTTCCAACTTCAAAATGACTAACACCACAAAGGGGCAGGACTCACCGAGCAAAATCTACCCACTTCTCAATGATCTTCTTTGGAGACAGCCGTGTACAGATAATCCCCACAAAGTCAGGCTGCGAAAAGAACACAGAAAAAACAGACGGGCTTAACTACTTCAGGAACAAGGTTACGTTCCAAAGAAAGAGGTGGTTCCACCTGGCAGGTCTATAGTGCTGTTTATGTCATACAGTTCCGTCCCAGTGTAACTACATCGTACCATATTAACACACGCATCCACAGAAGTAACTTGTGTTTTGGGCCTATGGTATTTCCACATGATTTGAACTGTAATAAGGTTTGGAAGGCTTGACGAGAAGAAGAGAGGACAGATTAATTAACAAGTTCCAAGGTGCTGCAATCTAGTGAGACCATCTTACTTTCTCATAGTTAAGTCTTACTCCATTGAGCCAGCACAGACATGTCTAGATCATACAGTGTCAAAGCGGATTGATTAAAGGCACGCATTAATATGGAAGGGATAATGCCTCAGTCAAGTGTCAGCCATGACACACTTGCCTCTGAATCAGGTGTTTACAGGTCCCACTCTAGAGATTTCAGCAGAGGAGCCCAGGCTGATACTCCAGTGCAGTACTCCAAGAGCTACATTATTGACGCCAGCATCTTTCAATGCAGAATTAAAGACTACCCTATCTGCTCTCTCACGTGGATGAAAAAGATTTAATGGGAAGCTTTGGAAGAGAGCAGGGGAATTCTCCCTAGTATCCTGGACAACATTTACCACTCAACCAACATCACCAAAAACCTGTTTCTGTGTCTACCACATAGCACTTCAAAACTGGCTGTAAAACACTTTGGGATTTTGAGAGGGACTGAAAGGCAATATATAAACGCAAGTCTTTCATTTCTATTGTGGCATCAGCTTCCCATCTGATCAGGGAATCCCTGCAGTGTGGAAAGAGGCCATTCAGCGCATCGAGCCTGCACCAAGCCTCTGAAGAGCAGCTCACCAAGACCCAACCCCTCCCCCCAATCCCTGTAGCTCTACATTTCCCATGGCTAATGCACTGAACCTGCACATCCTTGATTACTATGGGCAATTTCCCATGGCCAATCCACCTAAACTGCATATCTTTGGACTGTGGGAGGAAACAAAAGCACCCAGAGGAAACTCACACAGATACAGGGCAAATGTGCAAACTCCACACAGAGTTACTGGAGGATGGAATTTACCCCGGTGCCTGGCAGTGAGGCAGAAGTGCTAACCAGTGAGCAACTGCGCTGCCCCAATGGTCAGTAAGAGTTATTTCTTGGTGGTGTCAGCAGCATGTTCCCCCAGGAAGACTCAGATAGAAAAGGTCAAACATGGCTGAGATTCTCAACATCAGCAACCTCCATCAAAACAGTTTGCTGATGAGAGTGTAGCCTCTTAATCTCAACCAAGAAAAACACCCTGGACTATACCACCCTTGGGTGTTCTGCTGCCTCTTTTAGAAGGGTGACTGCACAACAGCATCAGCAGAGATCCACCATAAAGAAAACCATCGTCCATTATTTGCCGGAGAGGGATTTTGGAATTTCTAAGTCAAGGTACAATCTAAAATAGCAACTGTCATCATGTCTGAACTCGGTTCTCACAAACAGTTCTCCTTCCCAGCAGTCACCCAGTAACTTCTGGGAACTCTCCGCATTTGCTACTGCAATGTGATTGCTGTGGCCGCCTCCCTCTCTCTCCCTATTTATTTCAGAACCCCCCTCCCTTCCCCTCCCCCATTTCTGAAGAAGGGTCTAGGCCCAAAATGTCAGCCTTCCTGCTCCTCTGATGCTGCTTGGCCTGCTGTGTTCATCCAGCTTTACACCTTGTTATCTCAGATTCTCCAGCATGTGCAGCTCCTACTATCTCCGATTGCTGTGGGCGACAGCTTAATTATTAACATTACCAGCACTTTATCTACGTGGACTCATTGGAAGAGCAGCACACCGTTTACTGAACTCCGAGCAGTACACGGGTTTCACTCCGTGCAGGGTTCGCTACATGCCTCCCTTTAAACAATTTTCTCCCCTGGTTTCTGCACATTTTCTCCAGTTCCAAAGAAGGTGTCACACAGCTCACTTCCAAGAACCAGTGAGGTTCTCTTTTAGACAGGTTGCTGCTCATCTTGTTTGCTCCTGCGAGATAGCTCATCGTAAATCAGCACTTGACATTTTAACTGCCCTTCCTCGAAATGTTGGCTCAACAAATCTGCAATATGGGACAAAGCTGTGTAAACAGGTCTCTAGAATCTGAACTAAACCCAAGTAAACAGCAGCAGTTATGGTGGGATTTTCAACAGACCAGCAAAGGTCTCTCTCATCATATTGAACACTTACATTATTCTCATACAGGGTCAGGTGATGCGTTGCCAGCATACGGATTCCCAGTCGGGACGTCAGGGTGTTGTCCAGAAAAGAACGGATCAATGATTCATCCTGAAAAATTGAGGGACCGTCTTATAACGAAATGCAATCGAAAACACTGGGTTAACCAATTTCTTGCTCCTATGCTTTCATTGCAACCTTTGTTACCTTCTTAGGAGTCACTGAGATGTACAGCAAAGAAACAGACCCTTCGGTCCAACATGTCCAGATATCCTAAATTAATCCAGTCCCATTTGCCAGCATTCGGCCCAATTCCCTCTAAACCCTTCCTATTCATGTGCCCATCCGGATGCCTTTTAAATGTTGTAATTGTACCAGCCTCCAGCACTTCCTCTGGCAGCTCATTCCATTCATGCACCAGCTTCTGCGTGAAGTTGCCCCTTAGATCTCTTAAATCTTTCCCCTCTCACCTTAAAACCTATGCCCTCTAGTTTTGGACTTCCCCACCCCAAGGAAAAAGACCTTGACTATTCACCCTTCCCATGCCTCTCACGACTTTATAAACTTCACCCTCTGATGCTCCAGGGAAAATAGCCCCGGCCTATTCAGCCTCTCCCTATAGCTCAAACCCTCCAACCCTGGCAACATCCTTGTAAATCTTTTCTGAACTCTTTCAAGCTTCACAACATCCTCCCTATAGTAGGGAGGCCAGAAGTGAATGCAGATTCAAATATTCCAAATGTCTGTCAGATTCGCATCTTACACCCTCCATAAACTTCAATACATACAAACTACTGCTGTCTCCATTTTAACTTGTATCACGGTCAATTCTCCCATTGCCTGATCTACACTGACCCATGCGGAGAACCAACATCAATTTTTAAATCCCCATTTTCACAATCACAACCCTCTGGCATATCCCTGATCTTCCCATTCTGTATTCTTGCATTTCCCCCAATTTTAGTTACTGCATCATTGGTGGCATTAAGGACAAACTCTTAATTTTCACCCAAACCTGTCCATTTCTCCAGTTTGTCTCCTCAAAGATGTTTCTTATAATCTACTTGTTTGATTTGGCTTTTGGCCTTCTGCCTATTATTACCGTCTCTGGTTTGATATTAAAAAATGTTATTTGATAAGGCTCCTATGGAGCGTCCTGGGAAATTTCATAACATTAAAAAGGTGCCCTATAAATGCAAGTTTGACCTTTGACGAGAGCAAAATGCCACATGTGATGACATAATCAGCCTCAGAGGGTTGCGATACAGGCTGATGTTTTCCAATCAGCTGTACTTGTGGTAGTGCAGCGGTAGCAGAGGGCCTTCAAGAAGGAAAACTGCACAAGGTTTCCCTTGGGTCACTGCAAACATCGCCTACAGAGCCACCTTGAAGCAGCATTGCCTGAGCTCTGGGATTACACTCCCAGAATAAAGAAAAGCAGAGCAAAGAACAATGCAGCACAGGGACAGGCCCTTCGGCCCAACAAGCCTGCACAGATTCTAGACTGGCTTTCAGCTGACAAAAGGGAGAAGATCCAAATATATGTGTTGCAAATTGAAAAGATTTCCTGCAGAGAATTATATTTTCTAATCAACCTGTTGTTACACACTCCCAGAGTAAGTAGAACTTGAACCTAGGCTGTTTGAATAATTTGAAAGTGGCATAAATAACACGCTAGGAGTAAAACAAAAGGTGACTTTAAACCCACTTCCTAAAGCTCTCACCCCTGGGGAGTTCCTCACTTCCGGTCTGCTTCTGGTCCAGACTAATTAATGGCACAGAATGAGTCAACAACCCAATAATTATAAAAATCGGGCAACAACGAGGACAATCAGCGGTGAAACAAAAAGGACCTTGTCTTCTTACATCTAACAACACTGCTACCACAAATTAAAAGGACCAAAAAACATGGAGAATAACTGGCAGATTCAGCTTGAAACTTTATATTCAAAAAAAATTTTTAAAAAGCTGTGTGTTAGGCTGGGGGAGGAGTGGTGGCAGTGAAAGGGAGACAATTCCCTTCCTGGGCCTGGTGGTTCTCCAGAGCAGGATGTAAAATAGGCCAAGCAGAATCTAAATTTAAAGTTTAAGACCCTGCCATGAACTTTTGTTGGGCCACAATGCAGCATTGTAGAGATCATTTTACAGCCGTGCTCTCTCGGATACGACCTGATCGGTATTTCCGGCACCTTCCATTAAATATTTGACGAAACCAAAGTGAAATGCTCAGGCCATTTAGCAGCAAGGGGCTTGTGACATCAATGTTGTTCTGTTCACCAAAACAAAGTTCCACAGGGCCTCACAGCTTTCAGTTTCCCACAGAGGTGGGCAGCATAGCTACAAGGCTCATTATTTCCTGCTGTTTAAGCATGCACATTTATGACGGTTCAAAAGACAAATCCTTCCATCACGCCAGCTGCCTCTTCACTAACAACAACTTGCATTTGCCTAGCACCGTGAATGCAAGGAAGATGTCCCAAAGTACTTTACAGGTGCCTAATCAGGCAAAAAGGTGATGCCATACCAAATCAAAATGTTGTTGGGAATGGTGACCAAATATCTTGGTCAAAGTGGACTTTTGCTGACAATGACAGCATCTCAAAAATACCCCATCAGCTATAAAGCATTCAGGAGGTCCTGGTGTTGTGAAAAGGTGCTGTATAATTACAAGCCTATAAAGAGGAGTGAAGGCATTGGAGGAGTTTCGGAAGGATGAGAGCATTTGTACAGGACAGATTGTCAAAACAGAGATGGCCGCCCCACATCCATTTAAAGCGCATCAGGATATGGAATGTAGGTGTTTTACGAGGTACACTAGTCAGTCATTATATGACTGGATTACAGACATGGATGGACAACAGAAGACACAGCAAATAGAAAGGACCACAGTGAGAAAAAATATGGGCGAGAACAAGGACAGCATTTCTAGAGTTGGAAGGGAGGGTTCAGAGCTGCCCAAGAGGGATTGGGCCCTGAATGGGCCAGATTGGGAGAAGCTGACAGTATTATCCCAGGACAGGGCACAAACGTAGCCACTTTCTAGTCTGCCTTATTGCAGTACTGCCATATGACCAGCCACATGACTGACACTGCCATCACTAAACAACCAACTATCAAAAATGCACCCAGACCAAAAGATTAAATTTTCATAAAAGTGGAATGAGAACCAAGCTCAGTGTCAAGTATCATCAACTGAGCCGACAATCATGAACGTTATTTTGCTCAGCATGAATGTTTTATGGAATTCTAACGCTTCTCAATTTAAAAATAATGTGCTCATTTTAGCAGGAGAGCGTAAAAAGGATCAGTCAGTTGAGAAAGAGATATGACAGCAGCAAATTAAACTTCACTGAATGGTCTACATGTCACAGAATCAAAACGATGAGGTTTACTTACCTGCACGTATTTGCGACATTCTCTGAAACCCTCAGCCAGCATCGTCACAACATCTTTATGGTCATCCAAGAGCTGACGAATCATCTTGCAGTACTGAGTCTCTGTCTTGCTGTCGGTGATCTAAGGGAGCAAAGGAGAGAGAGGATTGCTGGATTTGCAAGATAGCTGGAAAATCCTATTATCCAAAAAAAAAACAACAAAAAAAGGGGAAGGGGAGGATTGGGTAAATAGCTGCAGCCATACTCACTGGTGGGAAATCAGACAACATCTGAAAGGCTCTGATGTACAGCTCATGCTGAAATAAAGGAACACATTACCAAATGAATAAACACAATTCAAATTCAACATGAAGCTCACCCTCCCTCACATCATGCTCCATCTTTCAAAGGTGTCATAGCTGTGTGACTGTAGCAAAGCACACCTTAATGTGCCACACTTCCTGTTGTTGCAGCTGGGAGACACAAGAAAGTAGAGATTGACAGAGTCAAAAACATATTTGTTGATCACCAAAGCTTGACCCAATCACATTGATTTAGTGAGAGCACTACTGAGTAACATGGCAGCAGCAGAACAGAGTCATCAGATCAATCAATTTTTTGTTTAACATTGCCAAATCAAAACAGGCAAGTAACAGGAAGTGATGGATCAAGTCACCTAATTTTGTGCACTAGATAAAATTGGCTATTCAGTCATCAAGAGATGACCGGCGGAACAGTGGTTCAGTGGTTAGCACTGTTGCCTCACAGCACCAGAGTCCTGGGTTCGATTCAAGCCTCGGGTGACTGTCTGTGTGGAGTTTGCACATTCTCCCCATGTCTGCGTGGGTTTCCTCCCACAGTCCAAAGATGTGCAGGTTAGGTGGATTGGCTATGCTAAATTGCCCGTAGTGTTCAGGGATGTGCAGGTTAGGTGAGTTACAGGGGGATGGGTCTGGGTGGGATGCTCCAAGGGTCAGTGTGGACTTGTTGGGCTGAAGGGCCTGTTTCCATACTGTAGGGATTCTACGAACTTCTATAACCACGTCAGTAAGAGTTAGATCATAAAAACCTCATTAAACAAATAGATTGTGAAAAAACTGTTTCTTTTTCATTGAAGTTTCCTCCTTAGTGGCCATCTCAATGAGCCCTTGGCGACTGGACTCTGCTCAGGCTCACTAGCCACAGTGTGGGGGAGCAGCACCTAATGTAAATGTAACAAAGGTAAACTACAACTTGTACACTGCACAGAGGCTCCCAGAGACTTCTGTTCATGTGAGTCCACCATGTTCCTCACTAACCACATTTACAGCAACTGAGTGGACAGGAGCAAGCCAGAAATAAACAAGGATTGGTAGCTGAATCCGAGAGGGATCAAGGCAGAGCATGAGCAAGAAATAATGAGTTACACCAGAAGGCAGCAGGTCAGTTATTGTAAAATTGTTTAATACTCAACCAGTGTGTCTTTTCACCAACTGAGGAAACTGTAACTGGCTATTACTTTTCTAAACTACTAACTTAAACTAGCTAATTAGTTCATTAAAACCAAAACCAATAAGAATTTAAAATAAGTTATCAAATGAATCAATTAGGTTCAATTGGCAAGATAGCATGCTGTAACTGCAGCACAGTGTCTGCACCTTGAGGACGACAAACCCGGTTTGCGCTGTAGACATTGCCAAGGATCATGGAGGGTTAAACAAGCCGTCACCCCACCCTAAGAGGAGCTTTAAAGTTGATAGGAGGCTGTGATGGGGATCCAGGATGGAGCAATGGAGGAGCCTCCGTTTATGATTATAGATTGTAAGCAACAAGGATGCAGGTTGTTAGCTGCAGGGGATTTGTCCGCTTGAAATCTCTAGTATTATTTCTTAATGGGTATTCCTTTAAGTACCGTTTTCAGATTTGTTTGCATCTCTCTTCACCAAAGACAAAATTTGTTTGATACCTCTTCCATTTCCTTCTATCCAGAGATAATTTCACCTTTCTCTGCTTTAATGGACCCATTATGTGATCTCTTCCTGTTTACCTACCTATAGAAGAGTTTAACTTATTTTCATATCTCGAGCTTGTCCACTCTTACTCTTTTCCTTATAAATTTCTTGCTTTTCCTTCCTTGAATCCTAATTTCCTTCCAATCCTCAGTTTTACATTGCAAGCCTCTTCCTTTGACCCAATATTGATCTTTAACTCCACAGGTAGACCATTTTTTTCCTATTGGGTCTTTCAGCATTAAAAAGAATGTATATTTGTTGCAAATTGTATATATTCTTTAAATGCTAGTCACTGCTGGTACACCATTCTGTCTTTTTAATGTGGCTTCCCAACCTGCTGCAGCCAACTTTTCCCACATAGCTACATGATTAAAGACCAAGTTTTAAAAACGTAACCATATCACAGACTCCGTATAAAATTGTATTATTCCTTACAACAGGGTTAGTTGCAGCTCTACATGAAAAGCTCTCTAGTAAAATGTAACAGAGTCCACACAATACAAGTGCTATACGAGTAGCACTTGTTTACCACTTGTTAGTGGCTCTCGTGATCAAGAGGCCTGTGCTAATGATCCAGAGGACACAAGTTAAAATCTCACCAAAGGGCTGCATTAAAATTAGAACACAGTTTAAAACATGAGCAGAAACTGAAAGCTGTCATCAGTAAAAACAGAGCACGATGCTGCCAGGTTCTCTCACAACTGGCTCACTGCCTTCCCTTTAGGGAAGGAAATCTGAACAGGCCAGATAAAATTCAACTTCTCTTTTGATTCATACACTCAGCATTGTAAAGTGCTCCAAATCTTTCAAAACAGCTCATCACTTGACTTGCCTTTGAGTAATGTCATAAAGTGAAACTGGCAAGGATCCAAAACAAAAAAAAAAATTTACAGAGATAATACCAAAAGTTTACCTATCAGGAAATGTTGACATAACAGAGACATTTAAAATTATGAAAAGCGGAAACATTTGCTCTACCTGTCAAAACCTGTGACAAAATCTGTAACTGGAAGCCATCAATATACAATTGTCACCTAGAAATTGCTTAGGGAATTCAAAACAAACTTCATCCAGAGAATGGTGACAATGTGGAACCAGTTACCACAAGGAACTGTTGAGATGAACACGTACGATGTATTTAAGAAGAGTCTTGATGACCAAGAGGGAAAATGGAAATGAAGATCCCAATGGTAGCAATGGGAAGAGGTTCCTGCAGAGCATCAATACTGGTATGGACTGGTTGGACCAAATGTAACCACAATACTACGATATGATATAAAAGGTTAATTATTTATCAAGTTTAATGATTCTTTCTCAAATTTGTGCACTTACATTCCTCTCTCCTGCATAGTTTTGTGACTTCTTCAAGGGGAAGTTTTATTGAGTTTAACTGAACCAAATTGTGATCTTCAATCTTTAACTGCAATATGGAGACAACCGACTTGCTAGAAACGCATGTTGACCTGACCTTAGCAAAGTCCATTTTGTTTATGCTTAACTGCATAATTCATCAATGCCTCCAAACAGCAAACTGTCTTTGCATCTTAAAACAGGTACCAAGGAACCACAGCCAATTGTTGTAAAAACCCATCTGGTTTGCTAATGACCTTTAAGGAAGGAAATCTGCCATCCTTACCTAGTTTGACATACATGTGACTCCAGACCACAACAATCTGCTTGAATCTTAAATACCCTCTGGGCAATTAGGGATGGGAAGTAAGTGCTGGCCTGGCCAGTAACACCAATATTCTATTAAGTTTAAATAATTAGTTTGTATTCATTAAAGTAAAAGCTCGCTGTACTTCCTGCAGAAATTGTTGACACTAGATTTCCGATGTGTCAAAAACCATAGCAATGCTTAAGTTCAGATAAGTTTCCTTTTAGTAACTGAGAAGCCAGTGTTTAAGTTTAGCAGCAAGGCTAAAAACAGATTCATTCGTTATTTGGTTGCACTTACCACCTGCAAAATTGTGGGGTTGCAGCCAATGATGAAGGGAAGGCTCCGAAATCCCTTAATTCGATGGGCGATGCGGACGGGTAGTTCATTGTAGAGATACTTGGCACTCCGCTGGGCAAAGAAGAAATGACTATCTTAAACCATCACTAGTTTGACCCGCATGCATGACTACATACAACACATGCCACTCAAAACAGGAAAAAACATCAACGTGGGGACTGCCTGCACAAGATAACCTCCAGTTGTGTTCCAAGATTCCCAAAGCACACTTGAACAAACCACAGATTGCTGGCAAGTCCTTTCTTTGCCACTTTCACTGGAACTATCCCAAATCTTCAAGAATTTATTTTTCTAAAATTGCATGGTGCATTATTTCTGCCCATGGATATGCGGCCTTGTTTTAAATTGGTGAAGGAAATAAAAAGCTCCAAATCAAATGCACAAGAGCTTTACCACAAAGCAGCTGAACGTTCAACTCACCAACTACAGCTCGATATATGAGAGGGTGCGCTTTAGTACTCAACGTAGCGCAAACAACATGGACTCTGAAAGGACAGAATTAACCTGACTAACTACTTCCAATTCTTTGAAAGAGTCACATGGTTTGAGAAAATGCTGAGTATGTGACATATCTGGTCTTCTGAAGAATCTATATGAAATGTATTTTATTTACATTTAAAACTTTGGGCACAAAAGGCAAATATAGGAATTGGATAAGAAACTGCCTGAAAGGTGGAGAACCAACTTGTGCGAGGGTTAATTTCAGAATACCACAAGGTCCCTGATGAGATGCATGTGGGAGTTGGTGTTGGAATCATTTTTATTTTCAATACAAGTCAAATGACTTGAATTCACAAACATGGCAAAACACATGCAGGCACACAAAGGTAACTACAATGAAATCAAGGAGGGAAAGTAGTATGGAGATGAAAAGGTTGACCATGACTAGCATTGAACAGCAGCAGAGGCTCAAATGGTCTCTTCCTGATCCTACTTTTAAAAATTCTTATCTTCTTAGGAGCCCATAAACTGCAACCTCATCTCAGGCTAAAGTCAGTTCAGTTAGTAAAGTCAGGAGTGGGCAGAAGGAGCCCTTATGATCAACCAGGTTAGTAATTTACTTCCTCACTGGTTCACCCAGGGGAACACTGTCAATGATGCCATTTCTTCATGACAATTGCAAGAAGTGGGTGCAATTTTTAAAAAGTCAATAAATATATATCCACACACTGCGACGATCCCTTTTGAGGTGAACTCAACGGGGAGGTAAACTGCACCTTCCAGCATGGAGCTCTGCATGGCAACATTCTAGAATGAATTAAACATGATGCGTTTGCAATTTTCCATCAAGACAGTTGCAGTGGATAACTCAGACTTGCACAAAAATACAGCTATGCAGTTGGTCAAGAACCACTTTTGCTCCTCTCTGCTGATACAATATCATAATTAACACTTTTGTTTGATTATGCATCTGTGAATGTGCTTTGGGACCACTGATTCATGGAAGCGCTAAAGAAATGCAGGCTGATGTTGTTGGGACCAACCTCTCCCATTTGCTGTTTTAACCTTATTTCTTCCCTACCTAACTAGGCTTGGAAGTAAAAGCAACTTACCAGGTTATGACTCCCGTCTGGGGTTTTTCCCGAATACAACATGGTGGTTGGTGTCAGACGTACAGATGCCTGAAAAACACAATAGAAGATGTAACCATTGGTATCTGTTCCAACAAACATGCAAATAATACCCTTATTTTCTTTTTTTTGGTTAGAAGTCTGATAAAATTCCCCAGCCATCAGCTATCACTCAGTAGTAGCCCTCTTAGCTCAGAGGTTATGGGTTTGAGTCCTACTTTACTGGCTAACCATTTAATCTGGTTTGATGTGTCAGTGCAGTGCTGAGGGAGTGCTGCAGTGTCTGTTAAATGTGATGCTAACTCAAGACCCCATATGCCTTCTCTGGTTATAACATTCCATAGCACAATTCAGAGATGGGAATTCTCTTGGCATCATGACCAATGATTACTTTCAAGTAACATCACAGAAAGAACAAACATTATTGAACTATTGAGATTGCTTTTTGAGACACCTTGATGTGGGGAAGTAGTGGCCTCATGGTATTATTGCTAAACTACTAACCCAGAGATCTAGGTAATATTCAAGGGATCGAAGCTCAAAACTAACTATGGGAGATGATGAAAATTGAATTTAACTGGAAAACAAAACTCAGCATTAGGAGTCTAATAATGACCATGGGAATACGCTCAATTGTTAATTGAGCAAGGAGGAAAAAAATCCATCTTTACCTTTAATGGTAACTGTCAGCCTTACCTGCTCCGGTCTACATGTGACTCCAGCCCCACAACGATGTGGGTGACTCTTTATTGCCCTCTGGGGCGAACAGGGATGGACAGAGACACCCACATCTTGTTTCCCTACATGGTAGTAGCATCTACAATTCGTAAACACTTCGCTAATTGAGCCACACCTTTGGATATTTAGAGATCATGAAAGATGTTATATAGATGCAAGTTCAGATACTCTCAATTGTTTTCCACCAATATCTACTGAATTAAAGAACAGGAGTCATCCACACCACTAGAAATATACAGAACAGCTCTCGCCAACTACTCGGATCAGATTTCTTTCCTATAAAGCTGCCTTTTTTTTCTGTTTTACATAGGGCTTTCCCTGCAATTTCCCTGAATAGATTTTGTACAGCAGGGCTTTAGAAATATTCTCCTGTTCTAAGACAAGATATTCTCTTAGTCAGTGATCTCGAGAATTCAATGGTCTATTTTCTGCCCCCTTTAATCTCCTGCATTAACTTTCGATAACAAGTCCATTATGTAATACCTCACTCAGGGATAGTAATAACTGCTGATGCTGGAGTCCGAGATAACAAGGAGTAGAGCTGGAGGAACACAGCAGGCTAGGCAGCATCAAAGGTGCAGATTTTCTGAAGAAGGGTCTCGACCCGAAACGTCAGCTTTCCTGCTCCTCTAATGCTGCCTGGCCTGCTGTGTTTCTCCAGCTCCACACCTTGTTATCTCCATTCTGTAATACCATGCCAAATACTTTTTGAAGATCCATATACAAAACATGACCTGCATTACAATCAACATCCTACTCTGTAGAAGATATTAGTCAAGTTAATCAAACATGGTTTGCTTTGTAAAAAAAAAATCATGCTTACTTTATTTATTGAGTCAAGTGGCATAGTGGTTAGCACTGCTGTCTCTCAATGCCATGGACTCAGATTCAATTCTAGCCTCAGGTAATTGTCTGTGTGGAGTTTGCACATTCTCCTGGTATCTGCGCAAGTTTCCTTTGGACGCTCCGGTTTCCTTCCACAGTCCAAAGCTGTGCAGGTTAGGTGGCTTGGTCATGGTAAGTGTGGGGTCACAGGGTCTGGGTGGAATGCTCTTTGGAGGGTCACTGCAGACTTGATGGGCAGAATGGTCTCTTATCTGCACTGTAGGGATTCTATGACTTTTTGAAATGCTAATCAATTGTGTCCCAGCTTATTAGACTTAGACTGGAATGAGTCTGTGCATGGGATGCACGAGTGGATAGGGGTTAGATTCTAACCAGCTAAGCCAAACACTGTAGATATGAGTTTTGCTCTTCTCCCAGCAGTATCCCTATCCAAAAAAAAGTCAGCCCGATTTACAAGCTTGGCTCCATCAGGTAGGGAGCATACTGGATCAAACTACAGACCAGAATTAGGCTGGGAACCTCTAGCTGGGCTCAAGGGGGAAGTGAGGTAATCTCAGATCTGGAAACCCTAGGCCAGCCAGGGTTAACGTTGGAAGACAGTTGAGCATCACCAACGTGTCTACAATGGCCAACTTAGGTGCAACTTTTATTGTCCATTCTTGTCCCACTTCAATCAAAATTGGAAGTGGGTGGCTATAATACACACTGGGGTTAATTTGAATTTTAAGTAAAAAATTAAAATGACACCTGATCCCATTCCAACCTCACTTTGTGGTTGAATCCTGCTCATCGGCTCCAAACGCTTCCCCAACACCAAAGTTTGGCTGATTGTATTTCAACTGTGAGCATTATCCCTCATTTTCTTGCCAAATGTGTAACAAATCCTTCAGTCACTTGGCATTACTCTCATAGCCTAGGAGGATTAGAAATTTATGACAAGCCTCTGAAATTTCCAGTCCCTATCCTGACATCAATGAGGTAATTAGCAGAACCAACTGTCTATGCCTCTTTCAAAACCCTATGACCACTGCATTCCTACACATTTCTGTGCCTCTCCCTACAATGAGGCCTGTAGTCCAGAGCAGTACCACAGACAGATTAGAGGGGAAGTCACACTGTGTGGATTTCTGCTCTGCATGTCTCTTCCCAAACAGCATGACCACCACCCACTTACTATCCTTACTACCCTGAACTTCTGTAGCTGCAGGGTGACCACTTCCCAATCTAAGATTCAGGACATTTAGTTCCCTGTAAGCCCTGAAGTCAGCACAGCTGTTCTTTAAACTCAAACAACTGAAGGCATTTTCCACTTGTGACTATCCAGGAAACAGGAAGCATCCTACACAAAGTACAGGAAAAGGGTCTTCAGTATTCAATCATCTTGCTGAAAAAGGAACACCTTGAGATCTCATGAATATCTTTGATTATTTATGTAGTTATCCTTGTGCTCTTTGGTTATAATCAATTAGCACTGCCCCTCAGTGTGTCAACTCGAATGTGGCAAAAGTGGGAGTTCAGTACAAATCACTCAATTGAGTGGATTCTCCAACTCTGCGCACACAGCTTTCTGGTGTAGCAGATGTTCCTCTAACTTTTTTTAAAAAAATTAAAAACTTGGCTCAATCTAGTCAGTCAACAACCATTCACAACAATTAACATTCAGTTCTTAAGTTATCCACTTATTACTTCTGATTAAAACCAAAAATACTACAGATTCCAAAAACCTGAAACAAACACTGGGAATGCTGCAGAATCTCCACAGGTCTGGCAGCATTTGTGGTGATAGCAGCAGAGTTAACATTTTGTCTAGTATGATTCTACTGGAAACAAAATATTAAAATTACTACTGATTTTTAGTTTTAAAGCTAAGTCTTAGAGGAAGAAAAGTATGACAAATTTCAAACACAGACTGATGGAAAAACTCAGCAGGTCTGGCAGCATCGGTGGGGAGAAAGCAGTGTTAATGTTTCAGATCCATTGACCCTTCTTCATAACAGTTCAGGTCACTGGACTCAATGTTAACTCTGCTTTCTCTCTACCGATGTTACCAGACCTGCTGAGTTTTGCCAGCAATCTCTTATTATTTCTGATTTCCAGAATTTGTAGTCCTTTGGGTTTTTAAAAAAAGATAAAATTTCAGTTTGACAACGTACAATGCTTATACATTATCATTATCATTATCATTATATATTGTGCTCACAATCTCCTGGCGTCGCCAGTTTAATATCTTTGTCCACCTCAATACTTCACAGCCACGTGACACTAATCCAGAGTATAAAAACCAAAAGAACTGTGGATGCTGTAAATCAGGAACAAAAACAAAGTTGCTGAAAAGCTCAGCAGGTCTGGCAGCATCTGTGAAGGAGAAAACAGAGTTAACGTTTCGGGTCCGGTGACCCTTCCTCAGTTCTGAAACGTTAACTCTGTTTTCTCCTTCAC